ATCTCCATGATTGTCGGTTAGAACTGAACCCTTTCTATTCTGGAGATGAAATGTCTTTTAGAAAACAAACAAACAAAAAGTGTGTGTGTGTGGCGGGGGGGGGGAGGCGGGGCGGTGCTCACAGCCCACTGAGGTCTTACATATGCTTGCCCGAACACCTAGGTCCTCCATGAATCCAGGAAAGACCTGAAGAACGTGGGCAAAGAACTCTGAGAAGTTTCTCCCCACTTGGGGGAGCCACAGTCTGTTTTTCTCAGGGTCTCTAAACTTCCTGTTAACTGGAGGCTGGTGGTGGGAAAATGGCACAGTGAGAGGCGGGCGGCCAGGAGAAAGAAGGCTGAAGAGCAATGTGGTAGGGAGGCCAGCAGTGAAGGGCACCTGGACAACACTTGACAGGGGAGACGGCGTAGGGTCAGAGCAGGGACTGATGTTCTTGAAAGGACTGGAAGATTGTCCATCTCCGGGCAGGGAACACCCAGGAGAAAATCTGGGCTGGAGTGGCATATCTCACCTCACCCCTTATCCTCTGGGACAAATCACCCTGACCTTAAAAGATGAAATGCCTGGACAAGAATGCCACCTGTGCAGTGTTGCCATCCCTCAGCATGAGAGAAGTACAAGGTGCGCACAGCCCCTGCTCCTCGGCTGACAAGAGCCCGCTTGAAAACTGATGGATGAAGGACAGCTGGTGCTGCTTGTGCCCGTTATAGAGTGTGCCATGCTGGTGCCCCGCTTCAGGGCAAGGTCTCCATTCAGCAGGACAGAGTCCTTGGCCTTGGGAGACACACTCTCTAGCCCTGGACAGGGTTTAAAGGTGGGTGTGAGGCCTCTGACCACTCCCCCGCCCAGCCAGCAGTCACCACTTACCAGAAGGCCAAACAACACGGTAGCAAAGAAGCCCCCGATGAAGCCTTCCCAGGTCTTCTTTGGGGACAGCTGTGGACAGAGAGCAAGTTCTTAGCAAAGGGCGTTTTGATAACTCTGGCTTTGGGAGCAATGCATACTTGTTTAAAAACCTCACTGTTAACCACCTCCCCTTCTACAATACCCCCAATGCTTGGTTGGTTTCCTTGTTCCCTGCCTGATTCACCTCAGTTTCCTTTCTGTTTTAATTGGTCATTCAAATCATGTATTCATATTATAAAACAGTATGCTAATTAAGTGGCAACACTCAAATTCAAATCAAGGCCCCCAAAATGTGTCTATACAGTCTATAGAAATATTTTTTTTATTGGCTCTTTTCTTCTTTTGGGTAGTTGTCAATGTTTTCCTTTGCTTTTCTCTTAAAACTAGTTAAGTACCAGCCTTTCTCCAGGATGACATGAAGACGTACACACCAGCTAGATCTCTGTCTCCCAAGCTGATACACTTGTATTGAAATTGAAAGCACCACCCATCCTTTATGGAGATATCTTATGTTAGGGCTGTCCATTTACCTTGATGAGTGGGGTCCGACCAAAGAAGAATCCAAACATATAGGCCATGATGTCATTACAGATCACACAAGAAATGGGGACAATGAACCTAGGAAATAACCCAAAGGATCAACTCTACCAAGATGATAATACCTCAAAAGTCCATACCATTCATAAATTCCAGTACCAAAATAATCTATGAAGTACTCTTTACCCACTAAGAAATAAACTTTAAAAAAAGAAATACCAAATAAGCTATACCTATCACCTGGCACATAGCAGCCATTTAAACGTTGACTGAATGACTACTGAATAAATAAAGGTGGCAGACTATAAAATGTCACTTATTCTTTTTTCACTATAAAGTAATCTATGTACATGATAATAAAAATGTAAACTGTAAAGGAAAGAAAAAAATTAAAGTTTCCTACTCCTATCCCCTATTCCCCAAAATAGCCATTTTTAATCATTTCTGATTTTTCTTTTAGTAGTTGCTTCCATAATTCTAAGTAATATATTTTATGTCTATTTCATAACTTACCTTTTTTTTTTTTTTTTAAACTGTCTATTACTAGCTCTAGTGAGCCCTTCCTTTCCTTAGGATTACCCTGAGGGCAAAACCACCATCTATATACACAGCTAGATTTCTTCTCTGCCTCCCCCTGCTGGTCAGGTCATCCCCACCATGAAAAAGGGGGCAGTTTCCATACTTGTACCATCACCTGCCTCTCCTAACTCTCCAGTCTCTTGACAATCACTTTTTTTTTAATTTCCTCTATTATAGTTTAACACACTATACATAAATCTCGATTTCCTGGCCTATCAACTATAAGCAAAATTTTCTGACTTCCTGTTTGTTAAGGGAGGGATTTAGAGCCTCCGTATCCTCCCCCCCCACCTACCCCCACTCCCCACACACAACAACAGCACATACTTTCTGCTCCACAACTATAATTTTAAGTCTTGTAGGTTGAGTCTGAAAACCAGTAACCAGAGATTTTAATATTACACGCTGTAGAAGCAAGTGGCATATCTGGCCCTAAAGATGAGGACTTAGCATGTGCTACTGTTAAGAAACTCCTAACAAAAATTCAGAAAGAAGGGAAGAAACTCTATGCCCCCCACTGCATTGTAATTGCAATGCCTAAGCCTAACATTTATAAGCACTTTACATGTACTTACTAATTTATTCCTCAGTAAGTGGGCAGTACTGTACCCTCATTCTGAAATTTGGAAACAGAGGTGCCATCTGGGGTCTTATCCACAATACTTTAATATCTCTCTTAAATACACTAGGATACACCTTAATCTCTTTGCTAAGAACATCCAACTGCCGATTTCAATCAATGCTGATAAATTTCCTATTGAAACCACTGCATTTCTGGAATAAAACCTACTAAGTAACAGTACAGTCATGCACCGCTTAACTACAGGGATACATTCTGAGAAATGCATTGTGAGGCAATTGCATCCTGTGTGAACATCATAGACGGCACTTACACAAACCTATATGGTGTAGTCTACTACACATCTAGGCTGTATGGTACAGCCTATTGCTCTGTAGGGGAGTAGAAATAGTTTTCCCTCTACCTTCAATTTTTGGCTGAGATATCCCGGTAATAAAAAAACAGATTAACAGGTGAAAACTAAACAAAAGTTTAATAACATATATACCAGGAAAACTGAGTAACTGGCCAAAAAGACTAAAGCTACCACTTAAATATCATGTTCAGCTGAAGACAAAAGCAGTTTGGGGTAGAGGGAGTCAGTTAGGGAGGCTGTCAGGACAAGCAAAGTAAATAAGGGTTTAAGATTGTTATGCAGATTTAAGTCCATTCTGTTCTGCATTGATAAAGAGTTTGTAGAGATAAGGTCATCCCCCTCTTTCCAGGTATAGCAAGGAAACACCCTTACAAATGTAAATATCTTTTACAAAGGGTAACTTCTAATTGGTTTTCAGAGCTTCTCCGGAGTCTGTTGCTTCTTAAAATTAATCAGGCTAAAATAATCCTCATGCCAAAAAGAGATATTTGGGGGTGACAAATTCTGTTCCCTTACAGCTCCTAGGCTACAAACTTGTACAGCATGCTACTGTACTGAATGCTGTGGGCAATTGTAACACAGTGCTAAGTAGCTGTGTAACGCATCATGCTACCTCTTCACCAGGCAATAGGAATTTTTCAGTTCCATTGTGACCACCATAGTCTATGTGGCCCATCATTGACCAAAACACTAAGCGGTACATGACTGTATACATTCTTATGACAGGCTGCCAGATTCCATTTGCTAACAGCTCATTTAAAATGGTTTATCTATAATCATAAAAGAAATTAGTTTATCATTCTTGTTTCTCCTTCCCTGTGCTTATCAGCTTTAGTAAGGGTTAGATAAAACTCAGCTGTTATCATTGGTCCTTTTTCCTGGTGTGGATTCTTGTGCAATTTTCAAAATTGTTCTGTAATTATTGATCTACTCAAGATTTGTTCTTCATGACTTTTATTGGTTTACATTTTGCCAGGAAGTCATGAAAATGTCCTCTAGAATTTCAAACTTGTGGTCATACAGTTGCATTGTCTTTGACTCTTTTAAATATCCCTATACCAATTAGTCTAGAACTGTGGATCTCAAAGTGTAGGTCATGACTAGAAGCATCAGCATGTACTGGGAATGTACTAGAAATTCAAACTCTCAGGCCAGAGCTGAGATCCATTTAAAGCAGAAACTCAGGGGTGGGGACCGGCAATCCGTGTTGAACCAGCTCAGCAAGGGATTCTGATGTGGCTCAAGTGAGAACCATTGGCTTAAAGGTAAGGCACTTTTACATGAGAAACACTCACAAAATAAAAGGGAAAACCCCATCATCACTTACCAGATCATTCCTTCAAACAGGTTGTGGATAATGAGATGCGACTGGGTTACAACAATCAGTAAAGTTACATGGGTCCAGCCAAACTGCAAATGAAGACAAAGAATCAGCTTTACCTATCAGTTTACCTTGAAAGGAACTTCAAATAACAGTAAATACCAAAATAGAAAATTGTTGAGGAATGGGTAGGAAAGCTATCTGCTTCTGCACTTGTCTTACTAGAAGTGAAAAGGTACATAACAGGCCTCTAGAAGAAACTGTCCCCCAGCTACAGTCCCCATCAAGAGTCAGGATAACGCGGCCTGGAGTCCTGTGCTCTGCAAACCTGGGAACTTCTCATTTTCTTGGTATTTGTTGAGTGCTTGGGGCACTCAGATAGGGGATGTGTTCAAGTGGAGGGAATGATATAGCAGGTAGGGTACCTGTGGACAATGCCTGAAGCTTCACCTTGAGCCTTACCTGGAGCCCACCTTCAGGTCCTAGTGGAGAGATTACCTAGGATAACAGTGATTGGGTCTAGGTGGATGTCTAAGAATTGCCAAAGATAAACGGGCCCTCTTCCTTCATGCCCTGGGTTCTAGATACATACAGAACAGACTGCACTTCGGAGTTGTTTTGTTTTGTTTTGTTTTTATTTTATTGGGGAACAGCGCATTTTTCCAGAACCCATTAGCTCCAAGTCAAGTAGTTGTTTCAATCTAGTTGTGGAGGGTGTATTTCAGTGGCCCATGTGGGGATTGAACTGGCAACCTTGGTGTTATGAGCCTGCGTTCTGACCACCTGAGCTAACTGGCTGCCCCCAGAGTTTTCATTTATCTCAGAAAGGATAAGAGGCCTGCTGAGTTTCTGCAGAATTTCATTTAAGCCAAGAATTCCCTCTCTCCCTCTCCCTCTCTCTTTCTCACTCTCTCGCTCTCTTGCTCTCTCTCTCTCTCTCTCTTTCACACACACACACACACACACACACACACACACACACACACACACACACACACACACTTCCCTTACCATGTAGAACTGCAGGCGATAATGCTTCTTGACCAGACTCAGTACAAACATGCAGAATCCTGGTTTCAGGAGGGAGGAGAAATGGCAAAATGAATCACATTCTGCATTTATCTTTGTCCTAGTCATTTCCTTTATCTGTGCTACATGGTCCTTTGGCTAATTTCCTGGTAGCAGTTGACCAGTGCAGAGTCCCAAAGCCAGGGAGGGGGGTGGAGGGGGGGAAACTAGTTTTTCAGACAGCAGGCAGAAGGAAAAAAATGACTCCCTCAAGACAATCAAAGGAAGGCACTATCTTTAAATCTTGCAGGCTACACTCAATTTAGGCCACTGTTCACCAGATAAGAATGTTTGGCTCTAGAGCAGACGCCAGCAAACAAGTCAGGCCAGCTGCCTATTTTTATAAATAAAATTTTACTGGAATACAGCTATGCCCAATTGTTTACATTTTGTCTGTAGTTGCTTTTGTGCTACAACGGCAGAACTGGGGAGTTGCAACAGGGATCCTGGGTCTCCAAAGCCTAAAATATTTATTATCTGGACCTTTAAGAAAAAGTTTACTGACCCTTGTCCCAAGCGGTCTGGTGGAGGGGAGATCTACCAGGTATGGGCTCAAGGCCACCCTTAACCTGCCTCTCACACTGACCCATATTGTGGCAAAAACTATCTGCAGCCCTGCCCCCTTCTCCAGGAAGGAAGAGGACTTTTACCTAGAAGTGAGCTGGGTCCCGCAAAAGCAGTCTTGCCCAGAAGACAGCATGATGCTACTCCACACACCACTGAACTGCCCTTGGGGGGCTGCTTTCAGGGGCTGGGGCATGCCCTCTGACTATCCTCAATGTCAGTAGACCCCTTGGCAGTGGATTATGTATGTTAATAGCCAGGTGTCATTCACAGAGCTGATCAAAAACAGGTCAAACAGATTTGGGTCAGAACAGATGTCTCATGTGCCTCAAACTAGCTTTGAAGCAACTATGAAAAACACTAGCATGATTAGAGCTAGTGTACAGTCTGAACTGAGTTTAGATTGACATAACACTTTACTGTTTGTCAAGTTTTAATGTACCTGATGTAAGCCTCACAGTAACTCCCCAGTTTTAGCTCTAGATTACAAAAGATTAAGCTCCTAGCCCCTCTGAAGTCACGGTCTTTTTAAACCCAAATCAGTAAACTTCCCACCACACCGCAACATCAGTCTCCTAAGAAGTGTCTCCTAGAGATGGCCGCTTGTTTTTATACGTAAATTCCTGGATGGTTTTGTTTTGGTCACACTGCAGGATCTCTGCCAATGGACGTAGCAGGGCAGGATCGTGCTGTGCTGTCCACCAGCGGAGGCTGGAACGCAAGGACAGGTGGTACAGGCTGCAGTCCCTGCACCCACAAAGTCCCTCAGTCTCACTTCTCTTAGTAAAGACTTGGTACAGATCATGTAAGGCAGAGCCGTCAGCTCTGATCCCCTGCACGGGCAGAGTGAACATCCTCAAAACTTTACATTAACCAAGAAATCCCCCAACTGCTACTCAGCAGACAAGAAGTGGTGAGCCCCCCGATGCACACCTATCAAGTAGAGAGTGAAGGAAATGAATCGGTGGTATTTGCTGAGAATCCGCAAAGGCTCTTCTCTCTGGACCAGAGTGAAGAAGTAATCCGTCACGGTTTCGCCATAGAAGAAGTAATTTACACACAGTAGAAAGTACCTGTAAATAAAGACAGGTCGTTGCAACAGGGAGCACATGGGGCCTGCCCTTTACAGCAAGGCTATCAGAAAACCCCGAGGAGAGGACCAAAATATCAGTCCCCCCAGTCCTGAGACAGACCCCACGGTCCCCTGTTCTCTAGTGACGCTGTACGCGAGAAGTTTATCTAGAAACTTGTGGCAACTTTCACCCACCTTCCATTTATCACAAACTAGGGATTTAGTTTTTGCCCCTTTTGTGGAGTGTCCATACCTAACCTAAGAATGCTCAAACTGTAAGAGAATGCTCCAAAACACACCTCATCCTGCCTCCCTGTCTCATCTCCATGCTCCCACCAGGAACCCTGCATGCCCATCAAGACGGTTCCCTCCGGCTTTGCCACCCGTCTACTTTGCTCCTGTCTTTTCCCTGCCTAGAGCATCCTCTTCACTCATCTTTCTTCACTCATTGTTCAGATACCATTTTCTTCATAAAACCTTGCCCAACCTGTTAGCTGCCTCCCTGGCCTTTACTTTGATAGCACATCAGCCAGTCCGCTTTCTTCTGAGGAAGATTCCAGATTCCTGACAACTACTAAAGAGTTCTCAAAGGCCAACCACACAGTCTGGCCTATGAAATACTAGGGTCTCAAATGTGCTATGCAAGTGCGTGGCCATCACTCCCTTCCCACCTACTGTCACTGTACTATCCACCACAAAACACTTTATCACCCAAATCTGCTATGGGTCTCTCTGGGGCTGGAGAGCTTACCAGCTGAGGGTCCTGAACCAGGGCAGGTCATAGGAGTGGTAGACATTGTAGCCAATAGTGATAATCTCGTGGAAACACTTTATCTGAACACACATCACCTGCAGGACACAAAGGAATTAGAACAATTGCTAACTCCCCAATTGTTACAATCTTTGAAAACAGAAACAAACAGGTCATGGGCCTTCAAGAAAAACCACTGTATTTAAGAAAAATGTCAGTCCTACAGTGACTAGGCGGCCCTCCTCTTTTCTCGCTCACACCATCCCACAGGGAATGGAGCCTTTTATGTCACATGAAGTATTATAGATCCAATTTCTCACAATAAATACATGCTCCTAAAGTTTCCATCAACTTTTTTATTCTAGAACCTCTCAAGACTCGATCAATTTCTTTCCCTTTTCACTTTAAATAGAAATACCTTGGATTGAGAGTAACTTGGTTTGTGAGTGTTCCGCAAAACGAGCAAACATTTCTAATACATTTTAACGTGGTAAACGAGCGATGTCTTGCAATACGAGTAGTTTGTTTATGGAACGAGTTATGCTCGTAAACCAAGGTATTACTGTGCTTGAAAAGCCCCAACTACTGTGCTCAGCAGTCAGCTATTAGTCTCCATGACACTGAGAAGACTAAGAGAGAAGCACTCTGGGTTGAGGTTTCTTAAGGAAAGGCCTAAGCCTATGAGTGAGGCCCCAGGACAAGAAACAAAACCAAGACTCAAAGTCACAGCTGGGGTCACAGTATAATCAAACAGTTGAAATAATCAAATCACATTTTAAAATGAAGAGGGATCTTTAACAACACATCAATGGCCCAGGCCAACAATCCCTCCAGTTGGCTGCTGACAGGTGAGAAGTCACAGATGTTCAGATGTTCTATGAAAGACATGTTCTGAGGAGCCTGGACCCCCAAATGATTCCCAGAACCAACCCAACACCTAGTACTTCAGAGGACTGACCCTGCAGGAAAAACTGAAGGCAGAAAACAGCACACAAATGGCACTTACAATTATCATTAAAACCATTGGTCCCAGGTAAATGATGACGAAGAAAAACGCAATCATAGCCAAAGTCAGGATGCCTCTCACCCACCAGTTCTTCCATCTAAGTAAGAGAGGCGGGAAGGAGAAAACGTGTTAAAAGCCCAGACAGAACTGAAGCACAAACCCAAGTGGGGTGGCTCTTCCTTGGAGGAGAGGGCCTGAGGTCAGTCCTTTCCAGAAGCGCCGCCTTCACCCTGACAGGTGCACTAGGCACATACTGGCAGAAGCAAGGTCACTAGAGCCGGCGTCAGCAAACTTTTGAGACGGAAGAGCTGCCAGGGATTGGCAAACTGCGGCTCGCGAGCCACATGCAGCTCTTTGGGTACGTACATGTGGCTCTGAAATAAAACTGAAAATGAAAATAAAACTATCATAGTTTCATTTATAAATTTTCTTTTAAGGTTTTATTGGGGAATTAGGGGGAGGGGAACAGACAAGTTGCTGTCGTTCTGGTCTTCAGTCTAGTTGTGGAGGACGTTGCTTCACTGGCCCAAGTTGGCACCATCATTGCACTCTTCCCGGGCGAGGCATATCAGTCGCCGGCTTCTGGATGGCTGCTCACAGCGGCTGCTGGCCGCTCACGCTGGCTGCCGGCTACACACGGTAGCTTATGGCAGCTCACTGCAGCAGGGTACTGCAGACTATGCAGTCGCTGGCAACCCACAGCAGCCCAGCTCCAGGTTGAGCTGTTGTTCAGCATCTTAGCTGTGGAGGGCAGTGTCACTGGCCCTCATGTGTGGGATCTGAACCGGGACCCTCTGGCATCCCAAGCCAGTTCTTAACCAACCCGCCACTTGGCCAGCCCTTATAAAATTTTTAAAGGCTATTATGCACATAATGGTGATTATGTAAAAATATATTTATGGCTCTCAAATAAATTTTTTTTTTAAATATTTTATTGGGGCATTGGGGGAGGGGAACAGCACTGGGGAATCGGAGGAGGGGAACAGACAAGTTGCTGTCCTTTGGTTCTTCAGTCTAGTTGTGGAGGACGTCGCTTTATTGGCCCATGTTGGTAATATCATTGCGCTCTTCCCGGGTGAGGCAGTCGCTCGCCGGCCACTGGATGGCCGCTCACAGCAGCTCACAGCAGTTCACGCTGGCTGCCAGCTACTCACGGTAGCTTACGGCAGCCCACTGCAGCAGGGGCTGCAGCTTACACTGTCGCCGGCGACTCACGGCAGCCCAGCTCCAGGTTGAGCTGTTGTTCACCATCTTAGCTGTAGAGGGCACAGTATCATTGGCCCTCATGTGGGATCCGAACCAGGGCCCCTGCTGCTCAGAGCTGGTGTCTCAAGCCAACTCTGAACCAACGCGCCACTCGGCCAGTCCTCGAATAATTTTTAAATTGTTGTGAAGGACAGGATTGGCTCTTGCATAGGTAGGCAAACTTTTGAGATGAAACATACCCAAAGAACTGCATGTGGCTCGCGAGCTGTAGTTTGCCGACCCCTGCACTAGAGCCATGGCCTCAGCCATGCCAAACTCAGCGGGTGCTCCAAGGCCTACAGAAAAATACACCCAGCTTGTATCTTAACAAAGGAATCAGGCAAAATCCCCAATGGAAATGTAGTGCCCTCTACTTCTGTATCTGCTTGGATGGCTTCTATGGCTGTCTCTATCTGAAGAAAAAACTATGAACATTTTCTTGGCAGTGGAATTGTACATTGCTCTGCCTCTGCATCGTTATGGTGATAATATTACACAATGATAATGAAAGCTATCACAAATACGCACCTGACCCTTTTATAAGGGTTTTACGTATACTCATTCATCCCTCAACACTAGTTACTAGCTTTTACAGATGAGGGCATGGATGGACAGGTCATACAGCTGTGAAGTGGCTAAGCTGGGATTTGCATCTTGGGAGTCTGGCGCCAGAATCCAGGCCCTTAACCACTGCACAGTACAACCTTTCAAAGGGGCACGTGTGTGGGAGCCACACACAGGAACGCTTTTAGAAAATGTTTTGGGGTCTTATGGTTTGTGTTTTTCATCTACCCACATAGCTGGTGTGGAGGGACCAGAGTCTCAAGGGACCAGAATTTGAACCCTGGATTCACCCAAGTAGAGATGTTTCTCGATTCTTCCGGGATAATTTTTAAATGTCCACAGTGGATGTGTGTGAGTGAGGGGAAACTAAATTTTGAACTGGGTCTTCCAGGGCACTCGGACACAGAGCAAGGCCCCGCACAAGCACCTGCATCAGTAAGCCAGGTTACCTTGAAGACAAGTTGGAAAGGGCCCTGTTGAGGACCTCTGGGGTATCATCCGCAGAGGTTACAAGGGGAGCAGCTTCCGCTCGGCTCTCACTGTCCGATGCAGTCTCTCCATCTACCTTTATATCTGGCTCTGACTCCTACATGGCAGAAAAAACAGAAGAGGAAAAGGTCAAAAATGTTCAGTAGGATACTGAGAAGTACACACCTGTCACAGGAGACCTGTAGGAAAAGACCGGAACAGGGCCTGAGGACCTGGCACAGGCAGGGGACATAACAGATGGGACTCTGCGCTCCCGATATGGTTCGGACATGTGCCAAAATGGTTCGCTCTCTACTGCAGGAGAGGCAGGCACCTGCCTGGAGGGAGGATTAGTGGGAGCCACAATCTGCTCAAGCCCCTGCCTTACGGGAGCCGGGGGAGGGGACAGTCCACAGGAGGGAGAAAGTCCCTCTTTTGTATCCACAGAATGCAAAAAGGGACTGTAGCTGGACTTCATCCCTGCCTCATTCCTGATCCTACTACTCAGAGCTTTTGTTTCTTAGTGGAATTTAGGATAATGGCTGTGAGAAGAGGTGGAAGAGAAATGAAATCACTTAGAATTAGACAGTAACAATACTACTTAGTATTTGTATAGCCCTTTGTTACTGGGAAATGACATTAAACCTCGGCTCTTCTTGAAGGAAAGAAGTCAGTCAGGAGACAGAATTTTGTGCAGAATAAAACAGCCAGAAATTTATCAGTGAAAGGGAGTACACTCTGAAACACAGTGTGGGCTGACCCAAGGGAGGGAAGCAGCTTCGCCTTACATGTATGAAGGCTTTTAGGTCTGAGTAGGAGTGCCTCCCCCTCTCCCTTCTCTTATCTCTTTCTCCCCCTGAGGTGCCTGTCTTCCCTTCTCTGGCACAAAACAATGCATTTCTTTGATTTAGAGGCATGTCTAAACACATCCTTTAGGGTGAACCTGGAATCCTGTTGGGCTAGTAAGGTATTGATGGTCCTGACAAACAGGATGTGCCCCCCCCCCCTTCTCTGACTTTTAACATCATATCTCTTTGATTTAGAGGTATGTATAAGTCTGGAGTCCTGCTGGGCAGCTGCCAGGGGTCTTGACCCAAGTAGTAGCTGCAGCAAGGGGCTTTCTAACTGCAGCTAAACTTCTACTCATTTGTCTTTTTACCTACGTTATCACAGTTTTTTAGAGCATTTCTCATACCTGTGAACCTCAGAGCAGTCCTGGGAGGAAGGGAAGGAACAGAGGAAGATCCCTCTTTTCAGATGAGGGGCTCTGAGAAGCTCAATGGCTGGCCCCAAATCTCCTATGAACCTAGGTCTTCTTTTATTTAAGTATCTTGGAATCCATTTCATTTCTCGGTAAGAAATTCAAAATGAAGTAAACTAGAAATGGCAAAAGGATATTTCACCACATCTTCAAAGATTTTTTTAGATACATGTGCAAACGCAGAAACAGTTACATATTTTAAGCTGAATTAGCAATTTGAATTTCCCTTATATGAAATTGAGCACCATTTCACGTTTATTGGCTATTTGGATATCTTTTGTGAAGTGTATGTCAAGTCATTGCCAGTTTTCTACTGAGTTTTCTGCCCTCTTTTTCATTGATTTGTAGGCTTTTTTTTTACACATTCCAGATTCTCCCTCTGGGCACTGGCCACAATGGGGACTTAGAGGGAGATTTTTGTAATTGTCTGTGGATCCCTAAAGATGGGAACAAAGACATCCTGTCCTCTTGACCTCCCAAAGCCTGGCACACAGCAAGATACTTACTAGTGGATGGAAGAGTGGCAGGAGGGAGCCAGGAGTTAATTCCAAGTATGGTAAAGAGACATCAAGCCCCTGCCCTTGTGAAAACAGCTATTTCTAAATTAAATTACAACAGTAATAACACCACAAAACAGAAGGCCTAAGTAGTATGACTGCTGATACAAAAGAGACAGCTAGCTGGCTTCAGTGAAGACTATAGGATCTGAGGGAAAGAGCTATAGCCTCTGTGATGGAGTCGCGCTCCTTACTCTGCCACAGCTGAGCCAGGGGGCTCTAGACAAGTCACGCAAGTGCCTCTGGACTTCAGTGTCCTCACCTTATAAAAGGGGCCCAGAAAGGGTCTTCCTTACCATGGAGGGTCACTGAAGAGATACAACCAATACAATCAAACTCCCACCCAAGGCTGTGTCCCATTCTACCACCCCGAAAAGTCCTGAAACACAGCAACGCCTCCAGAAGTATCCCTCTCCAGTTAGGCTGAATGAAGACTGAGGCATTCAGAGCAGCTTTCAGTCTTCGTGTTATTAACATTAATAACACGCCCACACCCCATGTGCAACCATCTGTAATAGGAGGTAAGGTTGCTGCTGCGTGATTATCTAGATCTGACCCCAAAACCAAGGGGCTTCAACATGCGAGGACCTGGGCCCGCGGAGGCCTCCCTCCCAGCGGATGCTCTCGGGAGCATCTTGAAGCCACAGGGACTGAGCTTGAACACAGCAGGCGAGGGCACGTGCCTGTGTGCATGCGCGCACAAACACACACACACAGAGAAGCCCCGGCACAAGGTTATTTTTAACTTATCCATCCTGTTGTCAAGGAGACTCACAAAGGCTGTTGGTTCCCTAGGCGAGGAAGGGCAGGAAGGAGCCAGGCGAAGTCCCTGCATGGGAGGGGCCGGGAGCTCGGGCTCTGCACTGAGTCAGTCCCCTGGACCTTCCAGGCCCTTTTTGTGCACATTAGCCCAGCACAGCTTCCTGCAATATTGCCATTCGGAAGTCCTCTCCTTCCTCGCTAGGATGGGTGAAGTGCAGAGGGGTCTCCAGAGGCAGAAAGTAGCAGGAGATAGAGAACTGCTACAAAGACACTGAGACTACTGTTATTTCCAAGAGGTCAAGGGGCCTGGGATGAACAACTAGGAAATTAAGTACATGCCCTGAAGGCGCAAGCCTGAAGGAGATTAACTTCCTAGGTTTTATCTGCCTGAAAGCAAGCAACTCTAGGGTCCTGGGCCTCACCCCAGCGCCCTTATCCTTATCCGGGGGCTCCCTCTGAGTAGCAGACCAACACCTACACAGACAACCATTCTCCCACTGGCGGAAACGCAAATCCCTGTGCAAGGGAAGAAAGGGCACAGCCCAGGAAGTCATGGATGGGGAGGGGGCAAGTCAGACTGCTCTCTAGGCTCCGGACCCCCGCCCCCAACCACCAGCACTACCAAGGGTCACAGGACAGCAGGCCAAGGAAACAAACTTAAGAGAACCCTGAGGCCTACAGGGTTCTGGCCCCTCCGACCTCATCGGCATAGGCCTTCCTTGCACGTGCAGCTTCCAGAGTGGGCCTGGGAGGCTCCAGGGAACTGCAGCCCAAGTCTCTGCCCAGAAAAAACTGTCACATGCTGGACCTGAGCATGTTCACTGGTTCATTCCGCCAGGGGAAGACGAGACAGGCAGGTGGACAGGAAGACTGTCCGCAGGAGGAGGCAGCAGCCAGCCAGGGAGAGCAGGGCCCACTCTCATGCTCATTACACCCAGCACAGGCCTCCATTCTCTGGTCTTCCTGGTGGAGAAAGGATCCCGCATCTCAGATGGCTGTTGGGATGATCAAATGCAACATCAATGAAAGTCTATGGAAAGTGTAAAGGGACTGAAGAGCAACAACACCCCACAGGACAAGGGCACAAGAGGCTTAAACACCGACCCCAGGCAACCCGGGCGCCCTGCTGACGGAGGGTGGAGTGAGGAAGGGCTGACAGCCATCGTGCCTTGCTGGGGCCCATGTGCTAACCAATTATATGAGCACCAAAGCTGCCTGCCTTGCTTCCTCTTTCGCACCTTCCACTCATCCAACTGGCAGCCCCAACTCAAAAATGACCCACTTCCCAAAGCTACTGTAGAGGTGGAGGCCTGAAGCACAGAGGCAGCAGCACACACTAGGGCTGTCTGAAGAGGGATACGTGCAGCGCAACCCACTCAAGTGTAGAAAGAAACGTTAGAACTTATTTCTATGTATCTCGTTTGTATTTTCTTTCCTGTGTGTGCTTTACAATGGACCTATCAGTGCATGTGTATAACTTAGTAAATGTGTGCAATCTTGGGCACATGGTAGAAACATCACGTACATGTCCGACACGGTGGTGTGTCAGTGGCCATAGGTGCCTTGCTTCCCACTGCACTGAGCAGTATCTGGAACACAGCAGGTACCCACAGATTTGTTGAACCACTGAGATCATTAATCCTACTTGACCTACCATGGACCAAAGTGTCCGGACTGAAAGTATGACAGAAGCCACTCTGATTTCCAGCTCGCATGCCAGGACCCACGCACCAGCCTCCATGGTGGCCAGTGCCCACTCCCACCCCCCTCACTGCTGTGGAGTGGGGCTGAGGACCCAGCTCAGTAACTCTGGGACCAGCACAGGACAGCAGGGAGAGGCTGCCTTGCTGCATCAAGTTGTCTCAGCCCAGCTCCCAGGCATCCCCTCCCTTCTTCCCTCCTTCTCAACCCAAGGGCCCAGACCAGAGGCTAAGTGGAGTAGACCCTGTCCCTCAGAGTCTGTCTCAATCATCACCCATCCTCCTCCATGCCCTTAGCCATTTCCCAAGGGGGTTGTGGTGCTGGTGTAAACAGGAAGCAAAAGTGGTGCTTTAAGTGGAAGGAAAAAAGCTTTCTCTGAGGCCTCCTTCCTTTTGGTTCATCAGACCCTTTAGAGAAAAGGCAGGACTGAGGGTGATGGACACATGGCATCATCTGGGTACCAAGGGCTCAGGAGAAACTCATGCTCCAAAAGCTTCCCCCACCAGCCTTCCAGGCCCCCTCACTCCACCCCAGCTGGCCAGAAGCCAACACCAGCACCGGCCTGGGGCTCAGAACAGCGCAGAGGCCTTCCTTCAACAGGGGCAAGAGAAGGCAGCCAGGGAGGGCCAGAGGCAACAGGGAGCAGGAAGGAAGGTTCCTGGTCATCGAGGCCTGGCTTTTCCTGGCCTGGGGAGGGGCCTGGCTGAGTCCCGAAAAGCATCTGGAGAAGGCATTTTCACTGTTATTCTCGAGGTGGAAGCCCCCCCTCTTCCCTTCCCTCTCAGTTCTCAGGCTTGCCTGAAGGCCTGCCGTGGGCTTACAAAAGTTTGCTGGGCA